TTTTAGAAATTGGGGCCATAGCAGGATTTGAGTGTGTCCCAATACTATGTCCGCACCATGTTAAGGAGTGGCTGTAAGTTGCAGTCTCTTTTCGTTGCGGCTGCAATGAAATTGCTGTCGAATACCTTTCTGAGTTCTTTCGATACATGAATACGTCTTCCTTTTCAGTGGTGATTGTTTGCAGTGGGTGATTTGGCGTTGTTCTTGTTGAAAGTTTTGCTTCTCAATCGTTTGACACATGATAACCGTTTTCTCATTCTCAACTCTTCTGAACGTTAGGCTCTCTTCAGACTGGATAACATGGTGAATTGTGTTCTTCAGTTTAAGCTCATTGGGAGGCGGTTGACGTAAGCTGTCAAGCGATGCAATGTTTGATGGATGAAACGATATAAATGTTTGTCTGCTACTGTGGCATTTTCGCATGATGCGTTTAAAGGGGGGTAATGACAATCCTGTATATAATTGTCGTCTTGTTTTAAAACTGAATTTGCATCAAACTAAGCACAACTCGATTTTGTCTATTACTTTTTCACAGTGAATGTTGTTTGCGTTGCAAACGAAACTGGAGCGTTATCGTTCGCATTCCGGTTGAGCGCTTGCGTGCTTGGAAATCCGTTCGGATTAGAGGTCATAGCAATATTTGCAAATGTGTTATCTTGAAATTATAGACATGCTAGAAAGTCGTCGATTAGTGCTACCAAGAAATTTTTGTCCTAGTAGGCTGGAATTTGGGTTTTTCCACTGCATGGCGTGATATATAGTCAATTACGCCCATTTTACGACCTGATAATTGTTTGATATCGAAGTCGAATTGTATTAGGCGATCTATCCATCTTGTGAGCTGTTCTAATTAATTTACTGAGTATTTTGTTTTCGCATGTAATTAGAACGCGCGATGCATAAGCAATCGTTGCCCAACCGTCCGGGATCTCTGGTTCTAAGGCACAACCGATCCCGTCACGACTCGCGTCGCAAGCCACCATTGACGTGTTTCTGTAAGATTATGAACCGCCTCGAGAATGTTTTTGAACGCTTTTTCATGAGTGGGTTCCCATGTAAAGTGGTATTTATCCGTGGTGGACAGCAATGGGCGTAGTGGTGTACATAATTGATCAAGGTTGGGGATACGTTTGTTCAAATGATGGATTAAGCGCATGAAACTTTTGAGCTTCTTAAAAGTTTTTGAATGTCGTTGTTTCAAAACTACTTCTGTTTTTCTTTGCATCGGATTGGTGCCGTATTCATTGATAACGTAGCCCAACCATACTACTTGCTAAAATTGAATTTGCTTTTATCAATTGATATAGCCATAATTTCGCTGTCTAACTTATCTAACCTTTTTTAGTTTGTCCATGTGCTCTTCTTTTTTACCGTGAGATGTAATCAAATTATCTCCACGAAAGCAAATGTATCCCTTTCCTTGTTTAATGTCAAGTCTACGGCTTTCTGAAATTCTGCAGGCATATTAGTTAGGCCGTAGAAGACCGTTTGAAACTGATAAGTTCGAGTTGCTTGACCGCGGATTAAACTGAAATTCTATTGTTTTCCTGTAAATTTGTCTAGTTTCAGTCGGCTATAGGCGTATCTGAGATCGGTTGGGGAAAAAAGGGTGGTGCCCTACTTTTTGCCGTCCTCTTCTGCTGATTGAGCCACACTATCAAGTAATACGTCTATATAGGGCTTTTGATACTTATTTTTTGTATCATTCTATTAATTTGTTTCCAATCCATCGCTAAGTTAACGGATTGGTCTTTTTTGACCGTAATCACAATTGGGCTTATGAACTGTTTTTCAATACATTTTTCCAGTTTAACGATGGGTCCTTGATCTATAAGGAATCTAATCTCTCTCTCTCTCTCTCTCTCTCTCTCTCTCCTTTTTCCTGTGTGTGGATAGGGATTCTCCTACCATTTTGTTGAAGGGCTGTGAAGTCGTTTAGAAATTTTGTGTGGAACATAGGATTTTTAGATCAACCTATTCTTGTGCATAATCCTGGATATGTAGTACTGACCCAGTTCGTGATTGTAGCATCGGAGTTGTTTGTATCAACCGAAATAAAGTTTACTGACTTACCAGCTGGTTTCTGCAGATGTAGCTGTACTCCAATTAAGGGCAGTATGCTTCTCCCCAGAATCTTAGCACCTTTGCCATCTACCACAGTGAATGAGACTGTGTTAATCGTCCAGCCTCCTGACTCGATGGGTGCATTGACTCTTCCAAATGACGGGATTTTGTAGCCATTGTAACAAACCATTATATTGGCTGACTTCAACGTTGTCTGAAAAAGAGTTACTGTTCTATTATTAATGAAGAACGTTGGTGAACCCGTATCTGCAATGAAAACGAGATTTTTGGAGCCTGCTCTTACCCGTAGTAGATGACCATTTACGTCTACCTCCCCCAAATGTCCAACTGGCTTATCTTCAAATCAGATGGATTTTGTTGTCGAGTCATCCGGGTGGATAAGGTCCGATCCTGGTGTGAGGTGGCGAAGCATTGTTGTAGAATCTTTTCTTTTGCGAAGCATTGTTGTAGATGTCCCGGCCCGAAGGGATTTCCACTTTGAAAGCAATGTTGTTTTTGATCTGTTGATTGTTTAGGGGGTTTCCTCGTTGTTTTTGCTGTTGTCTGCCTAGTCCGCCTCGTGGCGGGTAGCGATAATTGGTGTTTCCTCGCTTTTGGATGACACCAACTGGCTCTGCGTTGACGTTCGTTATCTTATTGCAGGGTGTGCCCTGTTTACCGATAAGTAATTGGTTCTTTTACTTTTTTTTCAGCCTAATTGTGAATTCGAACGCTTGTACTGACGTTTTTGTTTCTGCTGATAGGTTTTTCTGAACCTCGTCGTTCGACATATTTGCGATAAACAGGTCCTGTTCATATTCGGTTTCCAATCTTACGTCGTTGTAGTTGGGGTATTTGAAGTTTCCTTTCACCACGAGTTTCGTTTGTCCAGAGTGGGGTTGTTCGAGGGTTTCGGTTTTACCCTGTTTTCGTGTGAAGGCTTCGTACCTGTCGAAGGTAACGTTTCGTTCTTTGAGGAACAAAGTTTTTAGTATCTCGCAAAAGTTTCTGGTTGAGGTTTCTTGGATTTTCAAATCCGGGTAAGATTGTGTTAGTTGTCGTTGTCCTTCTGAGCCCAAACAGAGATATATATATATATATATATATATATATATATATATATATATATATATATATATATATCTTCAGCATTTGATGTCTGCCTCCTCCCAAGGGATACCGTCGACTGTTGCTCCGAGGTTGTCCAAGTGGGCGCATTGATTCTCCCATATTACTCGCTTTTCATGGGTTCTCAGGATGCTATCTCGCATTGGTGTAGTAGTTTTCCCCTCAATTGATAGTTAGTATCCTGGTTTTTGTGGCTTCGGGATAGGTGGTGGACCTTGCATTAGTTTCTGTAGATGTGTTTCATCCTTAGCTATGATGGCAAAGAATAGTTGTTGATTCTGCGGCTCTCACTCGATTGGTGATTCCGCTGAGGCTTTTTGCCAGAACGGAGCAATTTGCAGTGGGTTTTGGTAGCTGCTGGCTGCGCCATGTTAGACCCACGGTTCGCTACGTAGTGTAAGACTGAGTAGAGGCAAGGAATTTTTGCTCAAGAAACAAGAAGAGTTAAGTCAACTTAAATTCATTCTGTTAAAGTTCAGTCTGATAGTTTTCAGATTTGACATCGAGAGAATGTGAGTGACAGAAACTCATAATAACTAGTACATATTTGATTAAGTTCAATAAGTACATTTAAACTTAAGTACATTTTAACTTAAATTTAAGTATCTATACCAACTGGTTATTGTAAGTAGCATCAGATGGTTAGCTGAATATAGTAAAAGAGTTTCATGTTCTTGTTTTAAGGCATCTGAATATTTCGAAGGATATTTTTTTTTCATATCCGTACGGATAACAGTCTGGAATCAATTTTGTTGAGGTTTGGATGGATTGTTTGACCAAAGTCCATCCAAATTGATTTAATTCCAAGTTTAGGACGCTAATATTTCAGGATACATCGGCTTATATTGATTGAAAGTTCATTTCAGTGACCAAAAGTACATTGATTTGGATGGACCAAAATTGATTAAAAGTGTTTTTCGAACTGGTGCGGCATCGTGTCCTTCTGGCATAAAGAATTCCCCAAGTCCTTATTTTTGTCGCTTGATTGATATCTGGTCACGTCTTTTCCCTCGGATCTGTATTGACAAAAAAGTATTTTGTTTTGATGAGAAACGGTGCAACTTGTCAACTTTAAACAATACGTGACCTTCCAATACAAAAGACAAAAGAACCATCAAAATTGATGCACCGTGACCGCTCATCAATTATTCGAAGGGGTAAAAAAAGAAATCTCCACTACAACTGCAGACATTTTGTTCACGCAGTAATGACTTTTCCTAAAGGTAACACGAAAAGTCTTCTGAATGACGTTTCTTTCTGAGCACCACTAAAAGCAATCAGCGTTTTAATTTGCGAAAAATTGGGTGAAGTCGTAAAAATAGTTTAGCACCGAGATCTAAGCAGGATTGAGGATACAGCGACGTGTGAAAATCATTATAGGACTACGGAAGACCTGAAAGCTCAAAATGAAAATCGCTGGCATAAAAATAGTCGAACAAACTCTAAATTTTCCAAAAACAAAAAACGTCTCTGCCCTGTCAACAAAGTTGTTAAAAATAACTTTTTACCTCAAATTGTTTTCCTCTTTAGAGCCTAGTAGAGAATATCCAACCCCAGAAAAGACCAATTATACAATTAGCTATTTGCAAATAATCAAAACAATCTGAAGATCTACGTTAAGATCCTAATAAAGGGGGGGGGGGGGGCTCATTATCTTTTTCGATTTTTAGATTTCGAAACTCTTGTACGCTAATGGCGCCCTCCCGATCTATACCCTGTTATTATAATGGCAACCATTGGAAACAATTTTATTATGATTTATTATCTAAGAATCCCTTTTGATTAAGAAAACTGGTTTTGTTCTGTAGGAAATCGGACGTCCTGCACCCTCCACTGCGACATTGGATAACCGAATGGGGGGCAATGTGAATCTCTCGACAGTAGTTGCCCAGCAGACCAACAACTTACCCAGTCAGATCAAGAGAATAACCCTGACCAAGTTGCATCAAGATGAAGGCAAGTTGAAGACTTAGACAAAACAGCCAAATTTTAAAAACTGCCTCAAAGTTCTGCAAAACTTCGGCGCCAAAATATACTTATTTTGAGGGGGAACGCGCGTCGAAAATTGCCTAGAACTGAAAATACTAGCAACTTTTAGGTCAAAATTTTCCAAAAAGTGCCCAAAAACGCTTTTTTTGGCCGGTTTTTTTTGAAATCAATTTGGTCGATCTAAAAAAAGACCAAGAAAAATTTCCATTTTTTTTAAAATCCACCCCCTCCCCCGAGAATTTCCTAGATCCGCGACTGACTCCACTAACTTGAGGATGAATAGTCTTTGACGTCTTATTTTCCTGCCGCTGTTCAGAATTGCTGTAATTTTTTTAATAGCTCTGTTTTCTGATAATAGATTTCGGAGTTCGAGTGGGCGTGAGGTATTTCATTCGTTATATTCCGAAGAACAGTTCAGCCAGTCGGGGAGGACAGTTGAAACCCAACGACGTCCTACTCAAGGTACAATTGTCCTCATTCATTGAAATAATAAGGACCGTATTACCCTGAACTGGGTAAGCTTATGATTATGTCCACAAAAATTCCCGAAACTGAAAATATTCAATTGAAAAGAGTTTAATAATTAAACTCTTTTCAATTGAATATTCTCAGTTTCAAGCATTCAATTAAACTTTAATTGATTGTTTTTTTTTCAAATTGAGAAAAATTTCTGTTTTAGACAAATGTCATTTTTTTAGTGGACCTAATTAGTTTTGTTCAAGCTTTCAAAACCAACAAGACAAAAGTTCAATTTAAGTGCACTTGATTCTAGTTGTTTTCAAGGTCAATGGAAGGAATGTGAATGACATTCCGACGCTGAAGGACGTGCAGACTTTGATCAACAATCACAATGATGAACTGGAACTGGTGGTTGAGTCATTCAGTGGTGGTGACGTCACTGGCTTGAACAATCAAGACGTTATCGCAGCATCTATTCCGTCTCCAACTCTCACTTCTGCCCCCAACTCACTGACGTAAGAGACTACTTTTTCTTTTGTTTGTAGCATTTGTAGCACTGCTGGCGAAATTGATTGAACAAAAACTTCAGCCTCCATTTTTCCTTTACCTTACCCCGGGGTCGGATATAGAGGCTTGCCGACACGGGTGCATTTTGTATGTTTCGGTTGTCTAGACGGAGGAAAAATGTGACCTGGCAAAGTTTATCATAATTTTGCTCTAGAAAATAATTTCTTATCAGTCAAATTTTACAAGATTTGATTTATGTGTCCTACAACCAAAATTATTGCAAATGAAAGTATCTAAAAGTTAAAGAAAATTGCAAACAAAGTCATCCCAAAATCAATTATCTTCTGCAAAAAAAGTCAAAACGATCCCAGGTGTGGTAACTAACAATACCTCTGAGGTTGTATAGTGAAAACTGAAGTGGTTTCGAAGAGTTTAATTAACCATAATGAAACCGTTTCTTTTCTGTTGTTAGTTTCTTACTGACTGTGTTCTTAGCCACAGGCCTGAGAGATTGACTCTCTTGGATTTGTAAAAGGTCACGTATTCTTTGACCTTGGTTTTTATAATAGAATTATATAATTTACAGATAACAATATGTATAGCACTATCAAGGTCAATATGTGATGACTATCTGATTACTGCGATAGCAGTGGCAGATGTAAGGATGTAAGTAGCACTATCAAGGCCAATATATGAGGACTGCATAGTTACTGCAATGGCAGTAGCAGTTGCGGTACCACATACCCCCTCGATCAAGAAAATTTTTATAATATGTTATTAAAATTTTAAATAATAATGAATAGGAGTTTTAGAACTCAGTTTAAGAAGTTTTGGCTTTGTGTATTAGATAATTCATTTTCCATCTCTCTCTTCATGTTCCTCTTCCAACTGTAACGGGATTCTCCACTCGGCGTTCCATGAACGGGTTATATCTAGAGCTTCGCTGCCAAACTTTCTCCTAAATAGATGTTTCTCCAGCAGACCAAATTTTGTCTCCACCGAATTAGAAGCACCGGGTTTAAAATTTGCAAGCTTGATTCTATATGCTTCGAGCGCGGCTTGGTTCAAGTCTAATAAGTTATTCTGGAACGAGATTGATTTCACCGAATGCTTAATCGGGTTTCCGTATCTGGATGGTCCCTTTTTCGATCTCCCGCTTTTCCGCACTGATTTTTCCTCAAGTTCGGATTCGTCAGAAAACCCCGGAGGATTCATCAATTCCTCGTCGTCTCCCGCATCCTCTCTCGAATGCGGTATCTCTGCCGCCGCGCGCTGAACTCCTCGTTCAAGTACTTGATCCGCTAATCGATTCCAGTCATTCGCCGATAAGTCCTTACTATTGAAAGTGTCGAGGATTGTTTCAGGAGATGTAGTGCGTGTAATTTCTTTCTTGTTCTTGATAGTGTTCGACGAACATGCGTGGTCTGGCGCCTGCGGTTCGTTTACTTCTGCTGCTAACGCAGCACTTTTATTCTGTAATATGACTTGTTGTGCGTCTTTCGTCGAGATTGGGCCCACTTTAGCCTTAGTTGATTTCGAGAATGGTCCAGCCAAGTTTGGCTTCGCTCTTCGTACCGCCAAATTCAGCCCACCGCCTTGTAGAGTGTCTTTTGAAGTGATCACCGTTGGGCTATCCTGAAATTTTTCCTTAGCTGCACCTGGCTGTTCTAGCAATAAGTCTTCATCCGACTGACTCAATTCAGCCTCATCTTGTTCGTCTGATTGTCGCCTCGATTGCCTCTGTTGTTTTTTCTTAGGCTCTTCTCCCGATGGGGATCGTCTATTGTTTTTTTTCTCCTTATCGTGCACCGCAACCTTAACCTTCGCAATATCGCTTTTCTGGTAAATGGACCCTGCAGCCGTCTTAATTGTGGAAGGCGTTTCGGCCACGACCCTTCCCTTCAGAGGTTTTGTGAGGGCCTTACCGCTCTTCCTCCCCTCGTCTTTTCGTATCAGGATTGGTGACGACTGACGTTGCTGTGAAATGGCCTCCGGTTTATCTTCAACGAACCCCCGCTCCCACGAGTATAGCATTTCTTTGCGTAGCTCGGGATTAATGGTACTCGTCTCATCCACAGTACGCTTTAGGTCGTTGGCCGAAGTATCACGTCGAGTCTGGTTCCATCTTGCATTGGCCTCCAGAAGCTCTTTTAGGGCCCGCGCTCTTTCTCGATCCTTTGCCGAGACGACTTGCTCTTTGAATAATGGACTCACATCTCAGGTGTTTTGTCCCTTCCGGACAATCTTTAAGTTGTCACGAGATTGGTCGATTCTCTTTTTGAGTTGCGAAGCCGTCAAGGCGGAGCGCTCCAGATGTTCTTTATCTAAACGATCAGAGTTTTGTAAGAACCTATCACTGAGAATTTTAAATTCTGTTTTTGGCAATCGCCCAAAATGCGCTTCAAATGGCGACATTTGAATTGTCTTCTGTTTGCTCCAACGAAGGTCGCGAAGTATCGTACTCAAGCACAATTTTACCGACGTTACATTTTCATCGAGTAACATTACTCCCAACATTCTCTTGATGGTTTGTATAGTGCGTTCTACTAAGCCGCATCCGCGATGGTCGCCAACTGGACAAAATTTTTGTTCGATGTTATTGTCGGAGCAAAATTTTTTCATTGCTTTGCCCTTGAACCCGGAAAATTGATCCGTTCTATTTGATTCAGGTATTCCATGTATATCAATATATGAGCGAAGAAATTTTATTGACGACTTGCCCCCTGTTGATTTAGTGATTTTTACTGAAGGAAATTTAGAATACCTATCTATTGCTACCAACAGATAAATTTTTTTCCTTTGAAATCTTCAAGCGGGCCAGCATAGTCTAATTGAATTTCTTGACCGGGCTGCGTGAGCAGCGGCAGAGGCTTCGTAGCATTTTTTGGTATGATGTATTTTGCATTCTTACCATAGCGGGTGCAACTTCTGCATTCCTCTGCAAGGTTGACGATATCCTTGTGCATGTGCGGCCACCACAGGTACCTTGACACATCTAGCATCGCTTCCTGGCCTGGGTGACCGCGGTGAATTCTCTTTAGGACTGCCAAACGCAATTGTTCCGGGACAGATAATCTGTTGTCAACCAGGATGCAGTCGTCCACAACTGAGAGTTGGTGCCAGAGAGGGTTGGTATATGGACCCATCAGCTCGAAGCTGTGTCGATCGTTCCTCTCAATGACCCGCCGCAGCCTGTCCATCCAGGCGTCTTCTGATATCAGCTCCGCTAATAGGCTTCTATCAAATAGTTTGTTGAGGTTGTCCAGACTGATTTCTGTACGTATGTTATTTTGATCTGATTTGCCTTTCCTGGAAGCGTGACATGTCTTTTCCTTTTTAATTAAGCTGACTTCTGGGCTTTCCGAAGGGCTTTCGGCTGTTAAGTCCACTTCAATAATTTGGGGGATTTCACTTTGGGTATTCAATTGTGATGACTGGTCACCTCTATTACAATCTACCAAGGCTGTTCTGTTTTTGGCAATCGCCCAAAATGCGCTTCAAATGGCGACATTTGAATTGTCTTCTGTTTGCTCCAACGAAGGTCGCGAAGTATCGTACTCAAGCACAATTTTACCGACGTTACATTTTCATCGAGTAACATTACTCCCAACCTTCTCTTGATGGTTTGTATAGTGCGTTCTACTAAGCCGCATCCGCGATGGTCGCCAACTGGACAAAATTTTTGTTCGATGTTATTGTCGGAGCAAAATTTTTTCATTGCTTTGCCCTTGAACCCGGAAAATTGATCCGTTCTAATTGATTCAGGTATTCCATGTATATCAATATATGAGCGAAGAAATTTTATTGACGACTTGCCCCCTGTTGATTTAGTGATTTTTACTGAAGGAAATTTAGAATACCTATCTATTGCTACCAACAGATAAATTTTTTTCCTTTGAAATCTTCAAGCGGGCCAGCATAGTCTAATTGAATTTCTTGACCGGGCTGCGTGAGCAGCGGCAGAGGCTTCGTAGCATTTTTTGGTGTGATGTATTTTGCATTCTTACTATAGCGGGTGCAACTTCTGCATTCCTCTGCAAGGTTGACGATATCCTTGTGCATGTGCGGCCACCACAGGTACCTTGACACATCTAGCATCGCTTCCTGGCCTGGGTGACCGCGGTGAATTCTCTTTAGGACTGCCAAACGCAATTATTCCGGGACAGCTAATCTGTTGTCAACCAGGATGCAGTCGTCCACAACTGAGAGTTGGTGCCAGAGAGGGTTGGTATATGGACCCATCAGCTCGAAGCTGTGTCGATCGTTCCTCTCAATGACCCGCCGCAGCCTGTCCATCCAGGCGTCTTCTGATATCAGCTCCGCTAATAGGCTTCTATCAAATAGTTTGTTGAGGTTGTCCAGACTGATTTCTGTACGTATGTTATTTTGATCTGATTTGCCTTTCCTGGAAGCGTGACATGTCTTTTCCTTTTTAATTAAGCTGACTTCTGGGCTTTCCGAAGGGCTTTCGTTCGGCTGTTAAGTCCACTTCAATAATTTGGGGGATTTCACTTTGGGTATTCAATTGTGATGACTGGTCACCTCTATTACAATCTACCAAGGCTGTCTGTGCCTCTAATTCAAGTAGACTTGTTGGATTGTCTGGTCTTTCTGCCCCTATGAGGTCCCAAAATGACATCAGGGTTGTTCCACTAGTTCCTGACGCCTTTCCAGATTGTATTTCTTTAAGTCCTCTAGGCTTTATCGTCTTTCTCACTGGTCTCCACTCAACTTTCGGTATATCTGAATCAGAATCGTCTGACTCCTGTCGACTGCATGCAGCGCCTCTCTTTACCATCCGTGTCCGAGAGAAGGTGGTTTCTGTTACTTGTTCTGTTAGTTGATCGTCCTCCCTCTGATTTCCGTTCTGTTTATTTTTCATCTTCTTTGATTTTTCTGTTTCACTTCTTTCCATTTCGTTCGATGACGCCGTTTCCTTGGGTTCTAATTGTTTGGAGTTTAATTTATCTTTGAATTTTGAAATATCGACCAACTGTTTCTCACGAGC